GGACATTCAGAGTATACAATAAGTGAAGAAAATGTACAATCACTATATAATCAGCAAAAAATGGGTATTTTCAGTACAAAATCAACAAAGAATGCACATTTTGACGATATAATTAACAGTGGGAAAGAAGTGTTAATATGTATTGAGAAACGAAAAGCCATCGACAGTATGTGATCAGCATAGTTAGTGAAAGAATGGACAACAACAAAAACATCATTTGCTGTAGTCAACATTTGTTGTCCTTTTTTTTGTAATACAACAAAAAAAAGGGCATCGATGTCATGTGACCAGCAAAGAGTGGATAATGTTAAAAAAAAGTTCATACATTTTAACTTTACCATGAGTATCACACTTCAAAATGGTACACAAAATAAAACACATTATTACACTGATTAAAATCGTTACTACTTTTAAATCATTTACTTTAAAAGAAGTTTAAAAATGGCACCTTGGGATTTGATCATTTGAGCACCGCATTTGTCTTTTGGGAAAAACTCTGAAGAAAAACAAAAACAAAAAAATCCTTTGAAATAGTTCTAGAATATTTTAAGAAATATTGGACGTTTGTCTACTCTATGCTACTTTTTTAAGGATGAAAGAAAAGAAGTTGAAAACAATTGTATTTACAGTTTTGTATAGAAAAGAAGAGCACCAAGCTCATGACACACATTTGACGCTAACATGTTTGCAGCGCCATCTTCGGTTAAGATGGCACACACGACGCCATGTTTTGGTCCGCGATATTTTTTGGCATTTACATATTTACAAAAATAATGCTTGATTTTTTTTTTATGTTTGTATAATAACAGAAATCAAGAAAGTGAATTATACTGATGAACAAAAAAAAATTTAGATCAAAGTAATTTATGACCATTTCGTTTTTGATTTTGTTTTATTTACATTTTGGTAGAAGGCATTTTTACTTCAGTTCTTAGAAGTTCATCAAAGGAAATTCCACATTTTCTGATATGTTGCGAGACAGGAAATTTAATTACAATGTAAACTCATAAAATAAATTTGATTGAAATAATTTTTTTTAACTATGCGTAATTTAGGTATTCTCTTTGAATGATGTACAATGAATTAAATTTAAATTATTAATTATTTCCTTGTCGAGATACTTAAATAAACGATTTGGACTGGACTGAGAAGCATTTGAACTATCCATTTGAACTATGCACAATGAATTAAATTTAAATTAATTATTTCCTTGTCGAGATACTTAAATAAACGATTTGGACTGGACTTAGATGTATTTAAACTATCCATTTGAACTATGCACAATGAATTAAATTTAAATTATTAATTATTTCCTTGTCGAGACATTTAAATAAACGATTTGGACTGGACTAAGATGCATTTAAACTATCCATTTGAACTATGCACAATGAAATAAATTTAAATTATTAATTATTAAAATACAATTAAGAGGAAGATTTTTCAATGATAGTATCATAAATCTCATGTGCCTAATGAGAAAGAAAATGGAGAAGAATTTTTCTATGAGGATCTTCGTACACTACGCAGAAGCTGTCTTAGACATGATGTCAAGATCATTGTGAAAGCTAAAATAGGAAAAGAATTCAGGCCAACAATTGGAAGTCACAGTCTACACAAGAGCAAGAGCATTGTTCTACTTTGCTACTGAGAATGGTATGACTATAATCCAGTTCTTTATTTGATCACAAAAGAATTCACAAGGCGATCTCCTGACGTAGAGACGCAAAATCAAACCGACCATATGACTCGTATCCAGGACGTAAGCACCTTCCGAAGTGCTAACTGTGATTCTAAGATTTCAAATGCTCGTAAATTAAGGGACGAAAGTCTAAGGAGAGTTGACTGTGATAGATTAAAAGGTGAATCCAGCCCCCAGTCCAACTTAAATGAGGTACTTGTCTCAACAAACCTTGCTGAAATCGAAGGAGTGGAAATAAAATGGAGTGTGACATCATAGTTACAGCTAACGATTGGCTGGGCACTGCGAGAAGAATTAAATCAAATGGCTAGTTTGATCAAGAGTGTATGCTGGCATCTCAAGCAAAAATGGAAGCATATAAGAAACATGACACAGAAGAGGTATTCCAGAAAATCAGTTGATTACTACAGGAAAACAAGGAGAGATCTCAATGTAAGTGACTACAGTTTTGAACTAGTTTCATCTATTTGGGTTTTGAGTTGAGCACTATAAATGACGTAACTACAGAAGTACGTAACAGAATAACAGATGTTTCTATGGAATACACAAATCTAGTCGCATCTACAGGAAAAGAAAATTACTGCTCTACAAAGCAGGCCCATAGTTACACACGCTACTGAAATGTGGGCACTGAAGTTAATGAAGAAGTTTTAGCGGTTTTTACAAGAAAAATACTGTGAAGCATTTTGAGAGGTGTGAAGTGTAATGACAGTTGGAAGAGAAGAACAAATCCAGAACTTAATGAGATATACAACAGACATAACAAAATTTACATCAGTTCAAAAGCTAAAATGCGAAAGACGCCTAATTAGAATGAATGATGACCTGGCCATAAAAAAGATCTTCGACGAAAAAGCTCGAAAAGGGGAAAGACCAAGGATCCGGTGGATCGACTGCCTAAAAAAAGATTTAAGAGCTCTCGAAGTTATAAACTGGAAGAGTCTATCCACGAAGAGGGGCAGCTTTGAACTTGCTTCTGAGGAAGGCCATGGCCCACCCTGGGCTAGAGCGCCATTAGAGAAGAAGAAGCAACAATTAAGATAAGATAAATAGCAGGACTAAAGGAAAGGTATCTACTATACCGTATCATTTTGTTCCTCCAAATATTACAAAATGCTTGGAGAAAACTGGTGTGGACATGAGGCTAAAGTGGACATCTCGAATAACTTTAATATTTATGGGTCAAATTTTTTCTACGAGATATCGCATATTGGCAACACTGATGTACACTTTCAAGCGCAGTTGCATAATCACACTACGAATACTTAAGTAGAAATTTGAATAAGAAGGTTTTTAAGGAGCAAAAGTATCTTTCAAATTCTCCTTTTACTTTTTTATTAACATATTCTACGATATTTTCAGAATTTTAACTGAAGGCCATAATAAGTTATAAATGATACTGTTTTTTACCTATTTTATTATAATCTTTCTCTCTGTATAGTTTCAATTAATCAGCATTAGACATAAACAAACATATGACTTTGAGACATATATGATGGAGGGGTTTGTCATGTTTTATGTGGATTTTTTCATTTATAAGTTAATAACTTCATTTGCTTTTTTTTTAGTTTTTAAATTACAGTAATTAAATTACAGATGGATATAAATATAATGAAGCTTCTTAATAGCTTCTTCTTAACAACACTGACTTAATTAGAGTGAACAACTTTATGCTATTCAAATAAAGACAGTGTTGTATACATTGTGTTGGTACGGTGGAAATTGTTTTAATAGATTTACAATTCTCAAGAAACAAAATAGATATAGTTCTTCGAATCATGAATCTCCCAATTTTTCTGGCTGGTAATATTTCCAGGACTGCATCCGAACGCACATTTAACGTTGACATTTATTACTTTGATAAAATAAAAATTAAAAATTCAATATATTTATCAAATAAACCGACTTGGATATCGGTTTTATAATGCATTGACTTGCTTTCAAAATGTATTTTTTACTATAGTGAAATAAATTTCTACAAATTAGTATTTTAATTAATAGATGACATTATTTATTCTTCAATGAAACTCAGATTAAAATTAATTTCATTTTGTCTTTGAAACTTTCTCAGCTGTAATAAATTATTATTTAGGAAGATATCAAGATTGTCCACAATAGTCCCATAGCTTGTCCAGTGTAGTGGGGGTCAGTTTGGAAAAAGATAACATTTTTGAAAAAAATATCATGGACTAACAACTTTATAAGTCCATATATAAACTAGAATGTAGTAAAAAGTCCAAATTATTGCTAAAAAGTACATAATGAGTAAATAGAATTACACTTAATAAGGTTTTTTGACAAATTTGTAAAAAATGTCCACACTTTACTCCGTTGCAAGTTAAGAAAAAATCATATAGCGGTATTGCATTTAAGTAATCATCGGCGACTGCATATAGTTCCGTTTCAATTTCGTTATCAAATCATACAAATATGCCTTCAAAACAATATAAGTTTTAAAAAGTTAAACACTTCAAACAGAAATTTAATTCGTGCTATCTTTCACGATATATTTCATAGAATTATTTTTAAAAAAAGGTTACAGTTTCGTAGTCTTACTGGAATCCTATGGCTTGGCGGAACATTTCGATAAATAAGGTGAACATTCGTTCTTGAAAAATAAACAACTATATGAAGCATTCGGCGACAATAGCGACAATAGCATTAGATTTGATTGGACCACTAGAAATAGCCCGTCTTATGATGACAAGTTCTTAACAAATCAAATGCGAGAAAAATAATTTTTTACTTTTTCGCTGTAGAAGAAAATCGTCTGCAAGAAACAATATTTACTATTCTTTCATCAGTTTCAATGCAAACAGAAAGGCGTATTTTTGTCACTATTTTTAGATATCATTTCTAATAATTCTTATTACTTGTTAATTCTTGATTCAATAAATTTTGTTTTTCTCATTTCACACAATTTAAGAAAGCAAGCAAAAAGATGGCTGTGTAGCGTCGTTTCAAGAGTTGGCGGTGTTGATATTCGTTCGCGCTGGAGCTTGGCAGCCTTTTAGTGCGCACTTACATGCAAACAGGCTCTCTCCGTAATGGTTTTTTTCTTAACTTGCAGCAGAATATAGCAAGTGTACTTGTTTTCAAGAATTATATACTATTCGTGTTCATCCAGTAATAGTGTCTCTTTTGGTTACTGTCAGTTGCTCTAGAATGAACTTCTTCTACTGAAGTAAAAATTTAATTTTAATAAATAAAATAAAAATTACACTTTTAACTATTGTTGATTTAAAAAAATAGTAATAGGAAGATTAATATATATTACAGAATAAGTCCCCCCTCCAAAACAAATATGAATCATAAAATAAAAGACATTTTTAAGTATAAATAGAACCCTGAAAACAAAGCAAAGCACTGTGCGGCTTTGAGGCTCCAGACTAAAAATCTGGGGCTGTCTGCTACTATGGTAACAAGTGAGAGTACATCTCTAATTAGAGTAAAATAGAGGAAAGAAGGTGCCGATTGGTTTACTCACGCTGACTTATGCCAAAATTAAGACAAAACTAACTATTCACCCTACATCCCTATTCGAAGTGACTTTTCCTAGTAACCATAGCAACCGCCACTATTCCAGACGAGTGTCTGGAGGAGTTCTCCTGAAAGCCGCACTATATAGGAGAATTCAGAAATGTTAGTGCAATTCATTTGTAAAACAATAATAATTTATCTCGTGTAAAAATTTAATTAATGAGATTATTATTATTTACTACTTTGTTGGTGAAACTGATTGCAAATATTTCGCAAGGGATTAACCTCCTTCACAAACAATAAGCTATACCAACAACTTACTTTTGAATTGAAAATAATAAGTGAATATTATATGATGTTGGAACACTAAACATGGTGGTTGAATCACAATTTGATTGCAAAAAACTCTCTTTTTTTTTATTTTGGACCGGCAGCCTTTTCTTCTTCCTGTTGGAGGACATTCCTGAGAATGGCGTCGAGTATTAGTTGCTGTCACAAGATCTGGGGCAGAAAAGTCCCTGAGTCTTCCAGTGGGTCTTTGTGCTCGTACAGGCGAGGATCTTCTGAACTAAACTCTCCCCTTTTCAGTAATACTAGAAAATGATCAAATAAAAGCGATTGGGTTCTATTACTTTGACAAATGAGTAACGTATTACTCGCAATAAACATGTAATTTAGAAATGTAACTTTATTATATATAAATATATTTATACAGTGGTGTAAGAAATTAAGAGAATTCGCAGAATCGGTTTATTATCTCTAGAATAGGGATGCACAACCTTTTAAAGTGAAGGGCCACTTGAACAGCAGGTGGGCTAACAAAGGGCCGCACGTATTTAGACATGTTAATGACAAATGTAGTAATGTTTATTTAAACATTAGCGTTCTATTTTTTTATCAATAAACTTAGTAATATATTTGTAAAAAATTAAAGGTGTTCCATTATTAGAATTAATTCAAAACTAAAAAAATTATACTTCTTTTTACAAAAAAAATTGCTATTTTTATCATATAAACAATAGATTTATCAAAAAAAAAAATTGAACAAAAGAAATGTTTTTTTTTATCATATCATGTAATAAGAAAATTCATTTTAGAATTAAATTCTAATAAATAAAAAAAAACTGCAATGCCCACAGAATGAAAGTAGGAAAAAATTTAGTCATAATTAAGTAATATAAATTCAAATTAAATATTTTAATTGAAGAAAATTTACAGGTTTTAAACAAAAGCCTAAAATAAAAACAAAACTGTGATAGTTCAAAATAAAATTCAATGCTTATTTTGTAATGTACTTTATTATTTTATTTTATNTTAAAATTTGCATGTCGTAATAGAATAATTGGAATTTTTTATAATACGTGGGAACGCATAGCAATAACTGCCGAAAAAAATTGTTGAAAAAAAGGAAGAATTGCAAAAAAAAGATAAAAATTCACTTACATTTAAGATGAAATCGTCACAAATAAATTGCACCAAAAAGTGATTATTTAAATGGGCGATCTGAAACTTGCGTCGTAATAAAAATTCGGCATTTTCGAAATCACGTAAAAAAGCGGAAATAACTGTTTTTAAAATAACTCTATTTACGATAATGGGCCGGGATAGCCTGGTCGGTAGGGCGCTGGGCCCATATCCAAGAGGTCGTGAGTTCGATCCTCGCCGGCCGAAGACTCCCCGTGTAGTAAATGGTGACTGATGCACGTTAAATCTGTCGA